TTCCCTCTAAGAACAGGAACTAGGAAAGGATGCCAATTATCACCTCTCTTATTCAATATTGTTTTGGAAGTCTTAGTGATAGTAAGACAAGAGAAGGGAATAAAAGGTATCTAATTTGGCAAAGTGGAGGTAAAAGTATCTCTCTATGAGGATGACATGATAGCATTCTTAGAAAACCCTAAAGACTCAGCAAGAAAAATATTGGACACAAAGGACCAATTTAGCAAAGTGGCAGGATACAAGATCAAGATACAAAAATCAGTTGGTTTTCTCTACAGTGACAAAGAGAATACAGAGCCGGAACTAAGAAAAACAATACCCTTCACAATAGCTAATCACAAGATTAAATACTTGGGAATAAATTTAACCAGAAGTACAAAGGATCTATTCAAAGGAAATTACAAAACATTACAAGAAACAAAAAGAGACCTTGAGAAGTGGAAAAATATCCCTTGCTCATGGATAGAAAGACTCAATATTGTGGAAATGGCAATATTACCAAAGGCAATTTACATGTTTAATGCAATCCCAATACAAATACCAACTGCATTCTTTAACGAGATGGAAAAGGCAATCTTCAGTTTCGTTTGGAATGGAAAGAAGCCCCAAATAAGCAAAGCACTCTTTAAGAATACAAGAACGGTGGGAGGTATCTCACTCCCTGATTTCAAATCCTACTACACTGCCGTAGTGGTAAAGACAGCATGGTACTGGTACAATGACAGACACATAGATCAATGGAAAAAAATTGAGAATCCATAGATCAACCCATCTATTAATGGCGAACCGATTTTTTACAAGGAGATGAAATCAGTTAAGTGGGGAAAAGACAGCCTTTTTAACAAATGGTATTGGCAAAATTGGAAAACTATCTGAAAAAGACTCAAGCAAGATCCACACCTCACTCCATATACAAAAACCAACTCAAAGTGGATTATGGACCTAGGACTAAAACAAAGGATTATAAACGTCATTACAGAAGAGCTAGGAACAACGGTGGAAGTCTTAATTCACAACATAAACAGTCTTCCAAGTATCCTGAAAAACCTGCAACCAGGAGAAGATAAAGTAGATGAATGGTATCTTCTAAGAATCAAATCCCTATGCACATCCAAAAACTTCTCCAGTAGGGTAAAAAGGGAAGCTACTGACTGGGAAAAAGTATTTGGTAATACATATCAGATAAGGGACTTATATCTAGAATTTATAAAATACTTGAGCACCACAAAAAGATAAAGGTAAATAATCCAATAGAAAAATGGGCACAGGATATGAACAGGCACTTCACCAAAGATGACATTCAGATGGCTAACAAGCACATGAAGAAATGCTCAAAATCCCTAGCCCTAAGAGAGATGCAAATTAAAACAACTATGAGATATCATCTCACCCCAGTCAAAATAGCAAAATTTAACAGAACAGCAAGCAACAAATACTGGTGAGGTTGTGGAGAAACTGGAGCCCTTATTCACTGTTGGTGGGAGTGTAAAACGGTTCAACCATTGTGGAAGGCAGTATGGCGCATTCCCAAAAAGTTGCAAATAGAGATATTATTTGACCCAGCAATTCCACTAGTGGGAATATACCCCAAAGAGACCATAACTGACATCCAAGCAGATATATGCACACCCATGTTTATTGCAGCTTTGTTCACAATAGCAAGGAGTTACAAACAACCTAAGTGCCCATCAACAAATGAATGGATAGAGAAGCTGTGGTATATTCACACAATGGAATATTACATTGCATTGAAAAACAAGGAACTCATGCAATATTACTCAAATGGGTGACTCTGAGGACATTATGCTGAGTGAAGTATCTTAGTCACAAAAGGACAAATATTGCATGGTGCCACTGTTGTAAAACAGGACTGACCTTGGGTTTGTCGAGAGACTGAAAAAGATGGTTTCAATAATGTATACTGCATTGAAACCAATGAGGGAGAAAACTGTTCAAAAGGGATATGTGATTAGGTATTTTTGTCCTGACAGGAGTCTAGAGCGAAGGCTGCATGGTGAACTTTACCTGGGGGAGGGTTTGTTAAACAATGAAAGATTTTTTCTTTTACTTTTCCAAGGGGATAGTGTTCGGGGTGGAGGTGGCGGGCCTTGGGAGGGCAGAAATGTGCAACAATGAATGAATGAAAATACAAAGTTTATGTAAATGTTCACTGAAATTAATAATAAATTTAAATTTAAAAAAATTAAAATAGAGTAAGGAAGGCAATGGATTTATAACTGCTCATGCTATTAACATTATATCATGGCATGGAGGAGGAATAGTGGAACTGTATCCACATTTACAATATTCTTGCTACCAAATCCATTTATGGAAAATAGGAACTGCATTGGAACATGTATCTCTGCATTGGAAATGATCATATTGATAATATTTCTAGTCTTAAACTTATAAGATTATACTGCTCAAAATTATTTGTTATATATTTGTTTAAATTTATCCTTCTTTTAACAACTGGGATCTAGGGGGAAGAGAAATGACCAGAGAATGGCCAAAATTATTGGGGCAGCTATTGCTGCCAGTTTAGGGTCTGTGTCAGGAAAAGGAAGTCTTACTCATAAATAATACCACCCAAAGGTAATAAAGGACGTCAGAATTACTTCCAACACAGACAGGCAAGGGAGTAGAGAGGAAGCTCCCACTCACTTGCTTTAAGTGTGGATGTGAAGGACACTTGGCCAAGGGCGGCCCACATCAGGTCCTTGTGGCTGACAGGACTGACAGGCCCCAGCTCCCAGCTGGAAACAAAGGAGGACACTTCAACGATTTAGATCCTCCCAGAAGAGCTGTGGGTGAGCATTAACATTACTGGTAAGTATAGTCATTTTCTCCTGGACAAAAGAGCCTATTATTTGGTCCTAAAGCCTTCTTCCGTCCCAACTCTTCTCACTATTTCTTAGTTGTTGGTATTGTCAGAAAACCTCATAAGCAGTTCCTTACTTCACCTCTACCTTGCATGTGGACTTCCGAATTGTAAAACAACCCAGTGGTAGATGGAATTTGGTCCAGGACTTAAGAACAATAAATGAAATCGTTGAGCCTCTACATCTTGTGGTTCCTAACCTTTATACTATAATAGACAAAGTGCTAGTCAATGAGTCCTTTATTTTCAGAACTACCTTCCCTCTGTAAATTGGTTTGTGCCATTGTTAGAACCACTACTTGGAATATTAGTACTTTTAATTTTTGACTCATGTACTTTTAACTTGTTAGTTAAATTTGTGTCTTCTAGGCTGCAAAACTTCCATGATGCATCTTCAAGGATATGAACATGTATAGCTAAGCACAATTGATAACAGTGCATCTAAATTCCAAAATCAATCTCCACAATAGTCTACATGTTTCCTATTGCCAGAGGGGCCCTTTAGAAGAGTGAGAGAACAGCTTCCCCCCCCGAAACCTACAGGGTCCCTTTTCAGCAGGAAGTAGCTAAGAGAATACGCCCTCCCCTTTTCCTTATGAATCAGGATGAAATCTCTCTCAGGGAGGAGTGATAGGGAATGGCGGGGGACACACTGACAAAGGAGATTAATCAGAACTAGTTTTGACCAGCACTGTGGCAATGGGACAATTAAAACAAACTTTCAAGGAACATTCAACCTGAATCCTTCTGATCATATGGAGATTTTTGAAAGTATTTCTTTGAGTTTATTATGTTTAATTTGTTTTATTTGTTTGTGTATAAAGGATGCTCATCTAGATGATAACATAGGATAAAAACAAACGTAGGGAAATATGGGAAGCCAATAGTAAATATTTGTAATAAACTGAATGCTATTTAAATAAAAGAAAAATCAAGGTCCCTATTAATGTCACAGATGATGTAATAATCCATATTTTCATATTCTTCTGGCTTTCCAGATAGTTTAAGGTCACAAGTAGTGGCACTAAATAATGAAGATCTTATATGTTCTTTACTTAGTTTCATCCAATATGTCCAATCACAACCAGTAAGTGGGCACTCAGTTCACCAGTTTCAGGGAACTAATTTGTTTTAATGTGGGTTACTACAAATTACAGTCAATTTAGTGGCAATAAATAATAACAATAACATGTGTATGTGTCTTTTTTTGTTGTTATATGCTGTGTAGTTGGATTTAATGTAAAGTTGACCCTCCTGCAGGTTGTCAGACACTGTAAATTTCACAGGTGTGCATCTTTCTTCTATGGAGCAGTTGGTGAATTTCAACCAACTGCCTTTGTGTTATCACCATTAACTCAGTTTATACAATTTTATCACATGTATACCGTATATACATTTTGCCTCCCACTCTATGGTCTAGAAGTAGGCTCTTGGGAATTTAGAAAGTCCTGAAAATACTCGTTATAGAAAATATTTACCCTCGACTGTGAACAAAGTAATATTTAAACTGTAGTATGTACATTCTCACCTTTCTTGTTATATTTTTTTTCAAAGCCTGGAATACTAACTCCTTTCAATGTCTGTCCAAAGTACTCCTCCATGGAAAGTTTCAAGGTACAACAGTCACAAATCAGTTCAGTAGTAGTTTTGTTGCTCTAATCAGATGTAAAGGGGCTCTCATGGCCTAGTGACAATAAGCTGTGCTACAATCCTGAAGGCACAGAGTTTGAATCCCACCATGGGAGAAGGATGGGCAATCTCCTCCCATGCCATTAACTTCCTATGAAAACCTACCGGAGGGTCAGCTATGGGTCAGTTCTGAATTGACAGTAAACAACAACAATCAGATATAAACCTTCTGAGATAGAGAACAAGACTTTTATGTGTGTCCTAGAGGTCTGAGGTGGACAGACCCTCAAAAGTGCAAAACGGTATTTAAATTATAAAGATGAGAAAAGAAAGAGGAGGAGGAAAATTAAAAAAGAAAAAATAAATTTGGTAGAATGTTACCATCAAAGAGCTCTGGAAATTATAATTTTTAAAAAAACTAGACTATTTTAAAGAACATAAAAAATTGGGCAAACATGCTCATTCTGCCCATATTCTGAAGAGTACTCACCTTCTTCAACAGTAAGCAGGTTACTCAGTTCCGTTGATGAATGATAATGGACTGGCTCTGAATTCTTAACATTTGCCAGTGGCAGAAAGGGGTCATAATCAGTGGATGACAAGTCAGCAAGCGTCAATATGTAGTGACTCTGCTGGGAGTATGTGCTTGAACCACAAACACAGCAGTGTAGGATCTGTGAAAAACAGAAGAGGTTAAGTGCCAGTGATAACCCCACATCTTGCTAACTCTTGATAACCCCACCTACCACAGAGCTGGTAACTCTTGTTTGCTAATATTTGACAATAGTGAATCCTTTCCATTTTAAAAGATTATTTTGCTTATTTCTCATAAATTCAAATAAGGCAAAAGATAGGGAAGAAAACAGTCTTATTTCACTATTCCATGTGGCTGAAGTGTATATCGCTAAGTGCTTCTCTAACTATACTACCAGAAGAAACATCAGAAAAAGGAACTACACTGGGAGATGAAAATGGCTGGAAATATACATACCAATCATAAGTATTCTTTGCTCACAATATTAATTTCTTCGAAGTTTATTAAACCAAACACATTATTAAGCAAGCTGCGAATCATGGCAGCCCTATGTGTTACAAGAGTAAAAGTGTATTAAATCTCTGCAGCTCTTAAATTGCAGTTGGTTAATCATCTCTCTACCCGGTTGTACTTTTATCTACCTATAAGCCCTGATGGTATGCATAGGAATCAGATTGATTTAACCTGTGGAAAGAACCGCTGGAGAAGCTCAATATCAGCTGTGAAAACTAGGCCAGGAGCTGATTGTGGAACAGACCACAAACTACTCCTATGCAAATTCAAGCTGAAGTTGAGGAAAATTAAACCAAATCCAAGGCAACCAAAATATGACTTTGAGTCTATCCCACCTGAATTTCAGAACCATCTCAGGAACAAGTTTGAGGCCTTGAATGCTAATAAGCGAAAGCCAGATGAGTTGTGGGAGGATATCAAGGGTATAATCCAGGAGGAGGGCAAACGGTCATTGCAAAGACAGAAGAGGAAGCGAAGACCAAAATGGAAGTCAGAAGAGACGCTGAAAATTGCACTCGAGCACAGAGAAACCAAAGCACAAGGAAGAATTCAAGATACTAAAGAGTTGAATAGAAGATTCCAAAAGGCAGCACGGGATGACAAAGCCAAATATTACAATGAAATGTGCAAGGAGTTGGAGTCAGAAAATCAAAGGGGCCGAACTCGCTCGGCATATCTTAAGCTCAAGGAACTGAAGAACAAATTCAAACCTCGAGTTGTTATAATCAAGGATGCTTTCAGCAGAATGTTAAATGATCCAGGAAGTTTTCAAAGATGATGGAAAGAATATACTGAGTCACTGTATCAAAAGGAATTGGAAGACACAGAAGAATTTAATGAAAAAACATATGGGCAAGAGCCTATGGTGATGAAAGAAGAAGTTCAGGCTGCTTTGAAGAAAATGGCAAAAAAATAAGGCTCCAGGAATAGATGGTATACCAATTGACAGATTTCAGCTAACAGATGCTGCCCTGGATGTGCTCACCAAGTTGTGCCAAGAAATCTGAAGAACAACCACTTGGCCAACTGACTGGAAGAGATCTATATTTGTTCCCATTCCAAAGAAAGGTGACCCAACTGAGTGTGGAAACTACAGAACAGTGTCATTGATTTCACATGCAAGCAAGATTTTACTGAAGATTATCCAAAAACAACTGGAACAGCACATCAGCAGAGAACTACCAGAAGTCCAGGCTGGGTTTAGAAGGGGTCGTGATACCAGGGATATTGTAGCTGATGTTAGATGGATCTTAACTGAAAGCAGGGAATACCAGAGGAATGCCTACCTGTTTCATTGACTATGCAAAGGCATTTGACTGTGTGGATCATAGCAAACTATGGCTGACTCTGAGAAGAATGGGAATCCCAGAACACTTGACTGTTCTAATGCGAAACATATACCTGAATCAGGAGGCAGTTGTCAGAGCAGAGCAAAGGAACACTGCATGTTTCAAAATTGGGAAGGGCATATGCCAGGGATGCATCCTATCTCCATACCTTTTCAACCTATATGCAGAACAGATTATCTGGGAGGAGGCTGGGCTCTCTGAGGAGAAATGTGGGGTCAAGATTGGTGGACAATTTATCCACAATCTGCGTTATACAGATGACACCGCCCTGCTTGCTGAAAATGAAGAGGACCTGAGGCACCTGCTGCAGAGGGTCAAGGACTGCAGCCTCCAATATGGATTGAGACTCAATGTCAAGACAAAGATTCTCACCACTGGGCCAATTGGCAGCATCAGGATGGATGGTGAAGAGATTGAGATT